TCATCAGCCTGCTGTCGCTGGAGCGAAACCTCCAGGTGATGTGCGACCTGGGCGTCATCGCCGAGCTCCTCTCCGGGGCTTTTGCCGAGATTGCCACCGAGGAGGTGCATCCGCTGCACGGCCAGCTGCAGGTCATCTTTGAGCGACTCGCCTCGCAGCACATTCAGACCAAGGACTTGAGGTGAGAATGGGAAAAAATGACCACATTTTTACCTTCAAAAACTAACCTCTTTTTCAGAGCTTTCCTCCGCCTCTCCAACCCACTGAACTGCATTCCACTGGACGAGATTCGCCCCAAGACGCACCTTCAAACTGACCGGGCCATCGCCCTCTCCCGCATCAAGTCGATCATCAGCATGGCCACGCCAAGAGAGCCAGTCATCAGCAATCCCTTCCTCAGCCAGCCTGACCCGGCCATCTCCTCCCTCTCCAGCTCCCTCTTCGACCCGCCCTTCATCGAGTTCGACATGAGCCAGGAGGGTTTCAGCTGCATCTTCATTCCCTCGGTGGCCCCGATCTCCACAGTGGCCCCGGCCAGCGGCCCCAGCAACCTCCTCACCGGCGCCATCGTCGGCAACTCCGACGTGCCCGTCAGCGTCATCGGCGGCATCGGCAATGGCGAGCGGGCCTTTCCCTCGCAGACCGGCCTCTCCTTCACCACCTGGATCTACATTCACCCGCGGTCTTACCAATCTTCAACCTCTTCAAACTCCTCCTCCTCCTCCACCGGAGAAGACCTGCAGCACAACATCAGCATTCTGACGCTGTACCGGTCGAACCAGGCGAACAAGGAGTTCACCTGTCTGCAGGCGTACATTGACCCGCGGGATCGGTCGCTCACCATCACCACCCAGGAGGTGCCCCTCTTCTCCGGACAGCAGCAGCCAACTTCAGCAACAGCGACAAATCAGACCAAGATGGTCGGCTTCGACTCGGACCACAACATTCGTTTTCCGGTTCCGGAGCTGTTTTGCGATGGTCAGACGATGGACGGCGGGGGCGGCGGTCGCTGGCACCACATTGTCCTCGTCCTCAATCGGACGCTGCTGAAGAACTCCACGCTGAACGTGTACATTGACGGGAGGGCGAAGTTTCTGCCCACTCACCCCTCTAATCACCACCATGGTCATCAGCAGCAGTCGAGCAGCTACAAGCTGCACTACATATCGTCGATTGTGGGCGGCCAGCCGGGCATCGCCAACACCAGCCCCCTCTACATCAACGCCTTCATCGGCACGCCGCCCGCCCACCGCCGTCTCCCCTCGAGTCTCCTCTGGAAGCAGGGGCCCTGTCACCTGGTGGAGGAGCTCCTGCAGCCCTCCTTTGTTGCCTACATCTTCATGCTGGGGCCGAACTACATTGGCAGCTTCCAGGCGGTCAACTACCTGCCCGGCGGAAGCATGGCGGCAGGAGGAAGTGGAGGTGGTGGAGGAGGAAGCAGCGCCGCTAGCCAGCTGAGCCAGGTGGTCGGTGGTGGTCAAGGGCATCAGAGCGGCCAATCTCATCACCTTCAGCAGTCGATCGCTGAGGACCGACTGATCTTTGGGCTGAACTCCCGCGCCACCTCGATCATGACGCTGTCGAAGATGCGCCGCGTCTACTCGCGCTTCGACTGCAAGCAGATCGCCAAGATCATCGGTATCTCGTCGCACGAGAACGCCACGCCTATCTACGTGCTGCACAACTCGGCGGGCCACCTGTGCGGCCCCAGCCGCCCCCTCGGTGGCGTGCTCATCGGCAACGTCGGCGCCCGCTGCTTTGTACCGAAGCAGATCACCCTCACCTTCAGCGACATTGGCGGCGCCTACCCGCTGCTGGGGCTGATTGCCAACGCCGCCAGCATGGAGGCGCTATACGCGGGCGTCAAGGCGCTGGTCTGCGTCCTGCGGGCGAATGTGGAGCTGCAGCTGGAGATGGAGCGCATCAACGGCTACCAGACGATGGCGATGCTGCTGAGACGGAAGCGGCCGCACCTCAACTCGCACATTCTCCACCTGCTCTTTGAGCTCATTAGCAGTCTCAATGTACGGCTGCTCTATCAGCTCTCGAGGACGATGTACATTAGCAGCGGTGGAGGGGCAAGTGGATCTTTGGATGGTTCGGGTTCAGCAGCGGGAGGAGGAGGTGGCGGTGGCGGAAGTTCATCTTCATCTTCTTCCTTTTCTTCAAGTGGAGGTCACCCGGCCAACTACCGCGCCTTCAAGGAGCTGCTGGTCGACTCGATTGACCTGTGGATTCAGGCGGACCTGCTGAAGACGGTGCTGGAGCACCTGCACGAGATCATCTACGAGTCGAGTGCCGCCAGCTCGGTACTAATCAATCCCCGATCTTCTTTTGGCTTTTCTGGCTCCTCTTCCGGTCGCCTGAAGACGCTGAGCATCGCCCACCTCCGAGAGATGAACCTGTTGGGGCGGCTGGTGAACATTACGCGGGAGCACCAGGCCGTCCTAGCTGCTGACGAGCGGACGATGCACCTTCTTCTGGTCCTTTGCTTCAAGTTACTGAACCAGAGCAACCGCCAGAAGGACATTCTCTACTTTGGGCAGTTTATCGCCTCGCTTCTTCCCAAGCCTGAAACAGTAGAAAGTAGTCGCAAAGAACTGGAGGAGGACGTCGAGGAGGAGGAAGAGCCGAGCAGCGACTACACCGTCACGCTGCGAAACTCCCTCCTCAAAGTGGTACTGCAGCTGATGAGCCGCAACAGCAGCCCCAATGTGAACGCGGCCATGGCGGAGGAGCTGGTGCGCGTCCTTGGCTTTGACTGGTTCCTCCTCTTTCTGGGACGGGGGCTGAACGCGGAGACGACCACTATTGGAGCGGTCAATCTGATGCTCGTCCTCTCCAACAGTACGCTATTTTTGCGTTTTAAAGATGGCGGCGGAGGAGGTGGTCACCACTACAATGGAGGATGGCTGAAAGACGCCAACTCCTTCATAGCGAACAAGGGCGGCCTGCAGCTGCTGGGCTTCAACATTTCCACCTCCTCCTCGTCGGAATCATCCTCTCACCCGGAGAACTCGGGAGGTCAACAGAAAGATCAACAAAGCACAAGTGCTGGAGGTCATCGACAAAGTCGCGCCATCAACTCCATTCAGAAGGAGCTGCTGACGCTGCCCGGCTTCCAGCACCTCAACTGGCTTCTGGCCGCCCACTGCTACAAGCCCAAGGTCTACCTCATCCTCCTGCAGACGATGTTCGGCTACTACCGACCGAGCAGCCTGACGCCGGCCACGCTGGAGAAGATTGAGCAGTGCACCGAGCTGACCACCGACAGTCTGATGCGGGCGCTGATGGGCGGCGGGGGCGGCGGTCGCAATCCGAAGACCTTCAAGAGCGAGGAGATGGTCTGCAAGGAGCTGGCGGTGGCGGTCTTCGCCCTCCTCAACGCCGTCTTCTGGTCGCCGCCCGGGGGCCGCCACGCGCTGAAGTACCGCGAGTACCCGCGAGTGCTGATGTACTTTGTGCGGTACCTGTACAGCAACAACCGCGACTTTCGCTTCTACTGCCAGGGCAACGGGGACCTCCTGAATGCCCTCTGCCGCTCGGTGATCAGCAATCCGCTGACGGGCGTGGAGACGGAGCTGACCGGCCACGAGGGCGCCCAGCTCGTCTTTGACTTTATCCTCACTATTTTCGTGAATGTCATCAACACTGGGCATCCAAGTGGAGGTGGAAGTACCAGTGGAGGCCTAAGTGGCTCCCTGTCAGGACTGACCAATGTGGCGACGACGGCGCTCTTCTCCAGCCAAAAACCGATCACCACTTTTGAAGCTATTCTAGCCGGTTTTGCACCCTGTCGCCAGGCGCAGACGCGCTTCCTCTCGCTCTTCATGGACACGGTGATCAGCTCGCAGGAGTACAACAGTTTTCACCACCCTCAGCATCATCAGCAGCAGCAGCTGCCTCCTGAATCGGCCACCATCATCCTCAACTTCAGCCACGCCTTTGCCAACATCGTCCTGATGATGTCGACGGTGGTGGATCGGCTGTGGGCCAACGCCTATGTCGACGACCGCAAGAAGGTGCTCGAGTGTCTGGTGCGCATTCTTCGCGTGCACGCCGCCAACGAGTCGGCTAAAGGAGCCGGTCAACAGTCATCCTCCACTTCTTCCGCCTCCGCCACCTTCACCAAGTCCCTCAAGTCGCTCACCTTTCAGCTGTCCGAGGTGACGCTGCTGTACAAGAGCGCCAACCGCTGCCTGCTCTACCTGATCTCCCGCTCGGTGGACTCGATGGCCGACCGGATGTTCATCTTTGAGGTGCTGCAGCTGCTGTACCAGCACCGGGCGGTGCTGATCACCTCAAAGGCGAACAGCGACGCGGAGTTCTTCATCTGCCTGACGCACTGTCTGCTGCAGCTGATTGACGCGGAGGCGATCAGTCTGGCCTCTTCGGCAAACAAAAGCTTAGGAGGAGGCGGAAATAGTCGGTCTGGAGCAGTGCCCAGCAACTCAACCTGGTACGTCGTGCCCGGAGAGAGACCTTCAACGCCCCCAATCACAAAAAGCAGCGGTGGAAGTTCTGCTGCTGCTGCTGAGACGGACGAGGGCGCCCTTCTGATCGCCTCGGTCGCCAAGAAGATCTGGGAGGAGATTTACAGCTCGAAGCGGGCCCTGCTCGAGGAGACGATGAAGGTGACGCTGCCGCTGACGACCACGGCCGCCCAGCAGCGCCACCCTCACTTTGGCCTGACCGCCGTCGCGCCGGACATTAGCCAGCTACGGGACCTCCTCTACGACAGTACGCTACGCTTTTGGCATGCCTACCTCGATGGGGAGCACCAGCGGCAGCGGCGGAAGCTCAATTCGCTTTCTTTTGATCAGCAGGCTTTGGGAGGAAGTGGTGGAGGTGGTGGTAGTGGTGGCGGCACAAATATCATCACCGAAAAGCTGACCAACATGAACAAGTTCAACAACCTCGTCTCAAAGTCGGCCGGCGGTTTCGTCTCGAAGATTGTCGGCGGGACGTCGGGCGTCGTGGGGACGGCCATCTCCTCGGCGGTGGGCACCGCTACCGGTCGCAAGACGGACGTCTTTCGAACGGCCTCCTCGGACTTGGCCTCCACTACGTCCTCATCTTCTTTATTATCCTCTTCCAGCAACTCCACAGCCTTGTGGACAGTGATGCCTCGGAAGGACGCTCTCTACTGGACCTCCATTCACGCCTCCATCATCCGCGACTTTGTGGAACACCAGGTGCGCCAGAAACGGATTCTCGACTACCACCTGAAGAAGTACGTGTTGACGGAGTGGCTTAACTACGAGTACGAGTTTCTCACCAGGGAGAAGGCCATCTGGGGGCCGACCTACGGGTCACGCCGTCTGGACAAGTGGATGCTCGACATGACCGAGGGGCCGAACCGGATGAGGAAGAAGATGATTCGGAATGAGCAGTTCTACACCCACTACCCCTACCGGCCGGAGTTTGACGCAATGGACGCGCGGATGATCAAGTTCAAGTCGCCGGTGTCGCACGACTCGAAGGAGTACTACCGGCGGGTGTACTCAGAGCGGTACTTTCACCTCGACAAGCTGGAGGGAGGAGGGCAGCAGTCTTTTGAGCTGGAGGTGACAGTGGACGGAGTTGGTGGTGGTGGTGGTGGTACTCCCGTTCGATCGGCCTGCAACTCCACCAGCAGTCCAAAGGCTGCTTTTGGGGGTGGTGATGGCCGAAGAACGCCATTGAGTTCGGCTCGAGTCCTGCGCACCAAGTCTTCCTCCGACTACGACGACAATGACGGGCCGCTGTCCGCCGGAGACGCCTTTGACGGCTCCGCTTCCTCGGACGCCTTTGACCTGCTCTCCGAGTACGTGGACGTCAACTCATCGGAGTTGGAGGGCGGCGCTGGTCCGGCTACTCCGGGAGGAAAGCAGGCAAGTGGGGCGAACGTTAAGAAGGAGGAAGGGGAGCAGAATGACAACGAGGCGATACTGCGTTTGCTGGAGGAGGGCGAAACCATCTCGCACATGTTCCGCGTGGCCCGCGTCCAGGGCCTGGACTCTTTTGAGGGGCTGCTCCTCTTCGGAAAGGAGCACTTCTACCTGGTGGACGGCTTCACACTGCTCAAGTCGAGGGAGATTCGCGACATTGACTCGCTCCCTGCCAAGTAAGAGAGCTGCCCGAGGGTTTTTTTATGGACTTTGATTAATTTTTCACTTTCTCTTTTTAACAGCCTCCACGACCCGATCATTCCCAGCACGACGCCCCAGCCCTTTAGCAGCAGCTCCTCTGCTGCTTCTGCTGCTTCGACTCGCCAGGTAACCAAAAAGGTGTGTAGCAAGTTCGCCTACGAGGACATCAAGGAGGTGCACAAGCGGAGGTACCTTTTGCAGCCCATCGCCCTGGAGCTCTTTTCGCTGGACGGCCGCAACTCGCTGGTGGTCTTTCCGCGGCACCTTCGCAACAAGGTCTACTCGAGGTTCCTTTCGGTAGCCGTTCACATCACCGACAACGCCGCGGACTCGTTGATGGGCCAGAAGAGGAGTGCCAACGTAGAGACAGGCGGGCTGCTCAGTAACTTTATCGGCGAGACGTCGGTCACGCAGCGGTGGGTGGTAAGTGCCAAGTTTAAGGGGTTTTTTGTATTTGAGATATTAATTTTTTCTCCCCTTTTTTAGCGCGGCGAAATCTCCAACTTTCAGTACCTGATGAACCTGAATACGCTGGCCGGCCGGTCGTACAACGACCTGATGCAGTACCCGGTCTTTCCCTGGATCGTCGCCGACTACAGCAGCCCGGAGCTGGACCTCTCCAACCCCGCCTCCTTTCGCGACCTGAGCAAGCCCATGGGCGCGCAGACCACCGAGCGGCTGGAGCAGTTTAAGAAGCGCTTCAGTGAGTTTGACGCAGACACCAACATGAAGGGGGTAAGAAGTGAGGAGGAGGTTTTTGAAGATAATTTTTATCTTTTTTTTAAATTTTAGGGTGACGATCTGATTCAGGGACCCTATCACTACGGAACGTTTTACTCGAGGTACGGTGTTGGAAATTTTTTGTTCAACTTTGTATTTATTCTGTCTCTTTCACTTTCAGCGCCATGATCGTCGCCTCGTACCTCGTCCGCCTGGAACCCTTTACGCAGCACTTTCTCCGCCTTCAAGGAGGCCACTTTGACCTCGCCGATCGAATGTTCCACTCGGTGGGCGACGCCTGGCTGTCAGCTGCCAAGCACAACATGGCCGACCTGAAGGAGCTCATTCCTGAGTTCTTCTACCTGCCGGAGTTTCTGCGCAACTCCAACCGTTTCGACTTTGGCGCCAAGCAGAATGGCGTTAAGCTGGACGACGTGGTCCTCCCGCCCTGGGCAAAGGACGACCCAAGGGAGTTTATTCGCGTGCACCGGGCGGCGCTCGAATGTGACTATGTTTCTGCCCATCTCCACGAGTGGATTGATCTCATCTTTGGCGCCAAGCAGAATGGTAAGTGGACTGAATGAAAATGATTTTTTTAGAAAACGGACCTAATTTTGTTGGTATTTGAAATCACCAGGACCGGCCGCCGTGGAGGCGACCAACGTCTTTCACCACCTCTTCTACGAGGGCAACGCCGACATCTACAACATTGACGATCCGCTGAAGAAGAACGCCACCATCGGCTTCATCAACAACTTTGGCCAGATTCCGAAGCAGCTCTTCAAGAAACCGCATCCAATGAAAAAGGTCTTCAGCTTTGGAGGCGCTGGCGGTGGTGGTGGCGGCGGCTCTGGCACTCCCCTCATCTCCTCCCTTTCGCCCAGCATCCTCCTGCCCTCGGTCAACTCGATGCTCAGCAGCGGTTCTGGTGGAGGGGGCAGTGGCTCAGGCGGCCACTCCTTCGGTCCCGCCGGCAGCAAGGTCTTCATCCACTACCTCGACCACCTGCGCCCCTCCCTGCAGCCGATCAAGGAGCTGAAGGGCGCGGTGGGGCAGATCATTCAGCAGGAGAAGGCGACGCTGCTGGCGGTGGAGCAGAACAAGGTGCTCATTCCGCCCGCCTTCAACCGGTACGTCGCCTGGGGCTTCGCCGACCACAGCCTCCGCATCGGGCCCTACGAGTCGGACCGGGCGTTGTACGTGTGGGAGAGTGAGCTCTTTCCCCCGAACGGGGAGATCCTCTGCTCGACGGTGCCCAACTCGAGGGTCATTGTGACGGCAGGGACGAACTCGGTGATCAGCGTGTGGCGTTTCAAGGGCCGGCAGGCGCTGGTGCTTAGTCTGGTGCAGAAGCTGTATGGGCACACGGAGGCGGTCACTTGTCTCGCTTCGTCGGCCAGCTACGGGATCATCGTCAGCGGGTCACGCGATCGGACCTGTATTCTCTGGGACCTCAATCGACTGGTCTTTATTCGCCAGTTGGGTGAGTGGTGGTTTTTTGTTTTGATGTGTTTTTATTGATAACATTTTTTGTGTTTTTGTTAGGCGGCGGGCCGACGCCTCTGCACGGCTGCCCCGTGGCGGCCATCGCCATCAACGACCTGACCGGCGACATTGCCACCTGCTGCTCGACGATGCTCTACCTGTGGACGATCAACGGCGAGCTGATTGCCAGCGTCAACACGCTGCATGTGCCCGTATCGGCGGTGCCCTCACCCATTTCCAACCATAGCGGTGGAGTTAGGGGCAACAGCTCATCAGGGCATCATCAGCAGCTGAACCCGACCATCTCGCAGAACTGCTCGCAGATACTGTGTCTCGCCTTTTCGACGTACAACGAGTGGGACGCAAACAATGTCATCCTCACCGGCTCCTCTGACGGAGTCGTCAAGCTGTGGACGGTGGCCTACGTTCAAGAGCAGGTGGTGGTCGACTGTACGGCGACGAAAGAGAGCGCTTCCGCCTCCTCTTCATCAACTTCCTCTTCTAGTGATGATGAGGAGGGTGATGAAGAAGAAAAGGGTGGTGGTGATGAGCTGCGGAANGGTCGACTGTACGGCAACGAAGGAAAGCGCTTCCGCCTCCTCCTCATCGTCACCTTCCTCTTCTAGTGATGATGAGGAGGGTGATGAAGAAGAAAAGGGTGGTGGTGATGAGCTGCGGAAGACCTCCATCTCGCTGAACCCCTCTGCGGATGACATTGTCCGCCGCCTGTCGATTGTCTCCATCAAGAATGAGAGCAGCAATCAGACGCACGACTCGGATGACAGTCCAGAGCAGGAGGTGAAGACGGGCGGTGCTGGTGGCGGTGGGGACTCCTCAGAATGGGACATGCTTGCCTGTACTTCGGCGGAAAGTGCCGGCATTTCCCACTCGAAGTCCTTCAACGCCGAACCAGCAGCAGNGCCTCAGAATGGGACATGCTTGCCTGCACTTCGGCGGAAAGTGCCGGCATCTCTCACTCCAAATCCTTCAACGCCGAACCAGCAGCAGGAGCCAGTGGTGGTGGTCAGGCAAAGAAGGCGATGGGCAATGAACAACAGCCCAAATCGATTGCCAACTCGCTGACGGTGCCGACGGCGGGGGGCGCCGCCTCGACGATTCGCAACTCAAAGTCAGACACCTCTCTGGTGGACTCTTTCATTGTAGTGGGCGGCGGCGGGCGAGGCGGAAAAGAAACGGCCGAGCTGAAGAGCGGTCACCGGTGGACGGCCCGCCTCTGCTTCGCCTCAAAGCTGACCATGCACACCGCCTACGAGCGCCGGGACAATCGCGAGCCGGCGGCNCGGGCGAGGCGGAAAAGAAACGGCCGAGCTGAAGAGCGGTCACCGGTGGACGGCCCGCCTCTGCTTCGCTTCAAAGCTGACCATGCACACCGCCTACGAGCGCCGGGACAATCGCGAGCCGGCGGCCATCACCTGTCTGGCCGTCAGCAGAGACCACCGAACGGTTTTTGTGGGCGATGCTCGGGGGCGCATCTTCAGCTGGACGGTCAACGAGAGCAGTAGCAACTCTAAAGGAGGCGGAAGTGGACGGGAGGGCGGTCCTGGCCACCTCGCCGACCACTGGGTGAGAGATGAGATGGCCAGCCACTGTGCCGGCTGCAACGTCAAGTTCAGCCTCACCGAGCGGCGGCACCACTGTCGCAACTGTGGCCAGGTGTACTGCGCCAGGTAAGTGCCACCTCACTTTTACTGTGCTTTTGCCTAATAATGAGGAGGAAAGAACTGATGGATTCTGCCTTCTAAAAACAGTTAGCCATGGATAAACCAAAACTGCACGATTGTACAAGGGGGCAGTACAATGTGTTTATTTGCAGTCAATGTCATAC